ATAAGACAGGTGGCAGATGGGAGGGTACTCTTACCTGGAAATTACGCACATTGCCATAATTTAGAGAAATCCATAAAATCTTGGATTTTAGTTCTGAATTTAAGAGCTCTAGGAACTTGACTTCCTATTCGTTACCATACACAGTCATCAGCAGGAAGCAGGAGGGTCAACGCCAGTGGGATTTAGACCATTGCTACCTGCTAGCACAGGAGGGTCAAATGTTTGCGACAGTGGAACACTACTTCTTATATTCCACATAATAGATCGATCCAGTGCCTTCATGAGAGGGGAAAAATATGTTGACAGCATCACTTTCCTGCTTTGAATGAAAACCACAAATATTCTTTTTCCATTCACTTGTTTCAGCCGATCTTTATTCTAGTACAAGCCACTGCTAGAAAGGTTCCAGTCAATGCCAAGGAGAAAACCATGCCCTTCAACATTCCAGAAAAATAAGAAAACACTGCCAATATGTACTACACAAACATCAGGCAAAAAACAGCAGTAAATCACACACTAAGGCCAAACTCTGATACATCAGGCCCTAGGAGCTCATCTGTCCCACTAATTATTTGACCTCTGTGGCCTGTTTTCCCCACCCTTGAAACAGGGATTTCAGGGTCCTTTAACTTCAAAGAATTCCTGAAAAAATAATTACTGATGAAAAGGAACATTAACGACTTTCAAGTATAAAGTCTTACAAAAGACAGTACTTGCGAATAATGACTTTCTGGCTCTACAGGTTCTACTTTCCCACTAAGAGCAAAAGCATTACCTGGAAATCAGAATTCCTTAGCCTTAAGAAGCTGGCAACCAAGTATTCCTATCTATAAGGTTCTTAAAGAAAAATAAATAAATTGTGACCACTACCACCCTAAGACAACCACCACACATGCCTGGCAAGTATCTTTCTGGCAAGTACCTGATAATTTATTCACTTTCAATACACATAGAATAAATGAATATTGTCTTCATTGTTTGTTTGTTTGTTTGTTTGTTGTTTGTTTATTTATTGACAGAATCTCGCTTTGTTGCCCAGGCTAGAGTGAGTGCCGTGGTGTCAGCCTAGCTCACAGCAACCTCAAACTCCTTGGCTCAAGCAATCCTTCTGCCTCAGTTCCCCGAGTAGCTGGAACTACAGGCATGCGCCACCATGCCGGCTAATTTTTTCTATATATATTAGTTGCCAATTAATTTCTTTCTATTTATAGTAGAGACGGGGTCTCACTCTTGCTCAGGCTGGTTTCGAACTCCTGACCTCGAGCAATCCGCCTGCCT